CGCCCCAGCCTGCAACCAGGGTGCCAGCTCTGCCTGGTCCCTCGTCCCCTCACCCCGGTGCTGACGAGGGACAGCATGATGCGCTCGTTGAGGGCCAGGGTCTCGCCCTGCTTCATCTTGATGCGTTTCTTGTCCAAACACTTCATGGCGTACCTGGGGGTAAAGAATCCCCGCACAGTCCTGCTGCTGCCCACGGCCACGGCACCACGTCCCTCCAGTGCCACCACCACGTCGCCACAGACCGCAGCCACGCCGTCGCGTCCCTCCACCGCCAGCACCCACGGCCACATCACCGCATCCAGCTACCACCCACGGCCATGACGTCCCTGTATCCCCCAGAGACCCGTAGCCATGGCAATACTTCTGCAACCCCCAACATCTGTCGTCACCACTGCAGATGCCCTCAGGACCACCACCACAGCCCCAGCGCCCCCCTCATCGCAGACGGATCCCTCTGGCCCCCCACGACGGAGCATCCCCTGTTACATTTTGCCTGTATCTGCTTTCCGGCAGCCGTAGACTTCCCCGAAACCGCCGCGGCCGATGATTCGGTGAACGCTGAAATCGTTCATGGTGAGCTGGAGGGGGCGAGAAGGAGGTGGGGGTGAGCCCGGACACCCGGGTCCCGCAGCGCCTGACCTGTACCAAGAGCTGCGCATGTCCGTGGTGGTGGGGGGGTCCCACACCCTGCCTCAGTTTCCTCGGGTGAGGAACACGGAGGTCGCTCCACACGTCCCCGTGAGCGTGGGTAGGTGTGGGAGAGCCACCTCTTGAGTGAGCGAAAGCCCTGGGGGTGTGCGAGGGTGCCCCTGCGGGGTGCTCGCCCGAGGGTGCCAGTGGCAGTGAGCCCTGGGGCAGTGGCTTTGTCCCTGTGCCCACATTCCCCTCCCTGGAAGTGCCCGGGGTGCCCCGAGGCGCAGGGGTCCCTGCTCACATGGATGTTCAGCTCCACGTTCTTCCACTGGCAGAACCGTGTGAACTTGTCACTGCAACGAAGCACAGAGAGGGCAAGAGTGGAGCCCCTGGAGAGAACTCCCCCCCAAGACCCATCTCAGGGCAAAAGGGCCCCTTGGACTTGTCTGGAGACTTGTCTGGATGCAGCCCCCCCCGGGACCCCCGTCTGGGAACAGAGAGACCCCAGGCAAGACCTGGAGATGAGAAGAGCCCCCCGAGTCCCTGGTCTGGGGACAGACACCCCCAGAGCTCCTATCTAAGAAGGGACCCCTAGCCCCTCTCCGGGCCGGGAGACCCTGATCCCCGTGGGACTGTCGTCCATCTCACCTCTCGATGAATTTCTGGAAGATGCCCCTACGCAGGTTCTGGCAGATCTCCTCAATGTAGGGCTGGGGGGGATACAGGGCTCAGCGCTGGGTGCTCAGTGCCACCCAGGTCACACGTACCCCTCAGGGTCCCATCATTACGTGAGGTTTCCTCCACCCCTGGGATTTCACATATCCCCACTGCCACCCTGCCACTGCCAGGCCCCTGGGGATGCTTCTGCCACCCAAGGTCACCTCAGTCTCTGGGGACCCCAACGTCACCGCCCCTGGGGATCTCTGCATCCCAGGGTCCCAATCACCACCCTCTGGGGAGCCTCTCTGTTACTTCCATCCCCCAGTCATCCCATGGGGACCCCCAACAATCCCCCTCACACCCAACCTGCTGGGGACCCCCTCACCATCCCTTGGGGTCTCCATACCTTCTGGGACCCCCCTCCCCACCTCCAGGGGCCTCTGTGACCACCAGCCCCCCTGCAAGGATTAATCCTTCGAGTACCAGAGGTGGCAGGGACCCCCCCTCTGTCCTGGGCGATGCCCACCTGGAAGAGGTCTGGTGGCACCTGCTTCTTGCTCAGGTGGCTCTGGACATGCTCCGTGGCGCTCTTGGAGAAGGGCTGTGGGGCAAGATTGGGACCGTGTCACCCTGGGCAGAAGGGATGGGGGCACAGGGACAAGGCAGCCCCACGGGAGCCCGGCAGGGCTGGGTCTGTGGCTCCCAGAACAGAGTCAGTGGTGGTTTTGGAGCTCCCCCTGAAGATACTGGGTACCAGGAACATGGGGTACATCCCTCCCACCCGCTCTGGGGACCTCACCCCACTGTAGCGCCCGCACAGCACGGCACTCACATGGGAGCAGGCCAGCAGCTCTTTCATGATGTAATGGTCAAAGATGTGGCGGCTCCGGGCAGTTCGCTCCTCCTCAGAGTCCAGCTTCTCGTACTTCTTGATCTGGCAAGGGCACAGCTCCCATGGCACGGGGGCACACTGCCCCCTGGCCCGCGCTGCCCCAGGGCACAGCCCTCACCCCGCACCAGACAGGCGCAGCCTGGGGCTGGGCAGCCCCTGGAACCTCATACACGGGAACCACAGCTCCAGCCCCTCTGGGTACCACGTCCCACAGGCACCCAATGGTTACCACGTCCCCTGGGTACCCGGAGTGTCACCTCCTGGCCCCCTGGGCACTGTCTCCCTTGGGTACCCTGCATGCTCGTTGTACTACGTCTGTGGGCACCAAAACCCACCCCCAACGCTCCTAATGACCACGGGGGTCTGTCCAGATGGGTCTCCCCATCTCACCTCCTCATAAAACTCCATCAGGGGTTTGGCCTCCTCTGCCTGGTTAAAGGCGAAGTCCCGGAAGAGCAGATACCCTGGCAGGGACAGAGCCACGGCGTGAGACGTGCCTGCCCCAGAGCAGCAGTGCGTGCCCCATAGCCCAGGCCGAGGGGCACAGGGATTTCCCTGCCTGTCCCAACAGCCACCCCCTTGCCAGGCTCGGGGAAGGGGAAGTGACAAGCAGGGGACCGGCCAGGGTTTGGCAGGGCGATGTAGTGAGGCAAGGACACTGGCTGCACAGGGAGAAGCAGTGCAGTGCTATAGGGCACTATAGGGTAGCAAGGAGGTTGGTGCGGAGGGGGAGCAATGGGGTAGGGGCGCAGGCGGGCACCGCGGAGCAGGCTGCTGTGGGGTGGACGTGCCCGGAAACCGCCAGAGCCGGCGGGAGGAAGTGAGAGGCGCTTCCTGCCCTGGACGGTTAGCGCCGGCGCTGGGGGAAGTGA